CCACGATTTCTGCAGACACACATGAGCAAGTTCAACCCATGCTCTAAGCTGTCTGGAAGCTATGAATCTGCATGAGCGTGACGCTGATCCCTGACTAACTCACCTGGTCTCTGAGCTGGCCTCGATTGCTCATGCTGGCTGCCACAACTTCCAGCTTGGAACTCACTCCATCACCAGGAGAACAAGTCATCTGCAGCATGTTAGTGTCTGAAAAATGAAATCCTTTCCCACAACTGTTTCTCTGACTAAGAAATCAATGAAGAAATGGTAAAAGCAAGCTCATCAAGCAACTATCCTGGGTCATGGCTGCAATGTGGGTTGGGGTTTCTGAGGCACAGAGCACCTTGCTGCCCTTGTCAGTGCTTGGGTAGTGCTCAGTGGTTCTGGTGATGGGACCATGGCTGGCTGGAGGGTCAGCTCACACTCCTTCCCACAGGTGATGAGAAGAGCTCTGTGTATAAGGAGAACAAGTTCAAGGAAACGTTTTAATATCATACTGAGAGGGCTTGTGTGGCACTTCTGCTCCACTGCTTTGTGTCTTCTTTTACATGCTCTTTTTTATCATGATATTTGTGAGTAGGGAAAAAAAAATTGTTTAAAATCACTTCTAAAATGTTCCTTTGGCTTGGAGCCCTACAGGACAATTCTGGGATTATTTGCAAGATGCTATTTCTTAGAAAAGGACAGAGAATTTCTGCAACAGAGAAAACATTTTCAGATACTTCATTACCTAACACTTTAAAATGCAGCATTTAATTGATGGAGGCATCTGTTTTCTCTCATTATTTATGCTCTCCCTCAGCAGACTACTTTAAGAACACATCATTCAAGACCAAATGGCACAAATGCCAAAGAAGAAATACATAATTTATTCATGGTACGTTTTCCTTTCTGTCGAGGAAGAATTTGTGTCTGCTAGAGAGAAGCTGAAAATCCTATTGCCTTCAGTTATCATTAACTGATCTCAGTCAAGCTGCTGCCCTGTGGAGATGGGCCCTACAGGAACACACTGTAAAGGACAAGCCTTGTCCTGAAGTAAAGGCAGTGTACTAAAAGGTGAGCAATAGTGGGAACAGCAGTAATCGGTGGGGTGGGTGAGCACAGGGAGAAGCACGCACACCATTACAAGCCACAGTGGGTAACTTTAATGCACTGTGACAGAAGAAGCAGCGAATGACAGCCCAGCGGATTACCTGCTTGACTGCTGCTGTGGGAGAGCTTATTTTGGATACCATGACCAAAAGCAACATCAGGAAGCATGTCATGGAGCACAGGGTTTGCCAATTGCTTCTAGACATGCCACTGGATGAAAAGTAGAAGTTTATTCCTCTTAATTTCAAGTTATTCAGTATTTATTGGAGGATAGGACTGGGAAAAGAGAAGCCGTGCGGGTTAGCATCATTTACTCCGGTTTCACTCAGGCTAAAGCTCTAAAGTGCTAATAGATGTAGAGTCAGTGTGAGGGCTTTGCACTAACCTCTCCTTGTTAGATATTACAATTGGAAAATGGGGCCCTTCTAATGATGAAATAGGTGTGTGGTAAGACTTGTGCTGCACTACCTACAGGAAGCTGGTGAATCCTTCCTGTTTTTCTTCTGTATTAATAGGATCAAAGAAAAAAAAGGGCAAGTGTTTGTATTAATAAAACCATAGAAAAAGTTTCTTTAAAAATCACTGGCAAAGTCCTTCTCTTTGCCTCATACTTTGAAGAATATGAGGCAAAATCCTCATACTCTTCATCAGTACCAACTGCTGAAAGTCTGTGACATGTTATCCTGCTTAAAAGGCAACTAGCAAGGTAGTATGCTTCAGTTGGAAAATCAGAAACATCCCTTCCCTGTCCTAGTGCCTTTTCATTGACTTTAAAGTCCACTGATGTTTCAGAGTTCGCCTGTCTCTTCAGTTGCTTCACAGACACAAAGAATTGTAATCACAAATCACATTATGCTGTGCTCAGCTTTCAACAAAGGAGGAACAATGCTAGCTGATTTAAACAGCGTCTCCCAAGCACATATCTCAGCTGTGCCTTGTTTTCAAAGACATCCCTCAGTTCTTTCTCAAATGTATGCATGTTTCTCCCAAATGTGATGACTCCGATGTTTTACTGTTGAACAGCAGAAATTTAAGAACCATCAACTATGGGTTGTTTTTTTCTCCCCTGTGCAATGCCAGGTCCCAGTTCTGTAGAGGCTGGTGCCTGTTTGTAACTCCATGTCCAGTGTGAGTAATTCCACTCACTAGAATTGATAGCCTGGATAAAACTAAGCACAACTGTAAATCTTCATAGAAGAAGGGGTTTAGTTTTGCAGCAGCAGCTCTGGTTTCCTTCATGAATTTCTCCTCACTCGTAGCAACAGGGCACTGTAATTCAGCAATAGGACAACTGGGTTGGTAGAAATGGACAACGTTCACATTTATTAGAAGAATCCTTTTCTTATGTGACACCTTTTGGGTTTCAGGCCATGTCTGGGGCTGAAAGCTAAGATCCCTAAATGATTCTATGATTCCATACTTGTATTCCTATCTCCTATAGACTTCAGTTATTTTAAAAGTAATTGCAACATTACCAACTCTTGAGATTTCATTGCAAATCTCACAAAATTTGGCACCTTTCGGAAAGCCCTGGTTCTGGAACCTTGTGACTTTCTGACAGCACCAAGCATGGATTTCTCAATGGCACCTGTGCATCAAAACTGAAGCCTTACAAAGGTTAGAAATCGACATTTTAAACTAAGTTCCTGCAGGTTAAGTCACATAGCTGGAGCTGGTAGAGATTAGACTGATATCCTATGTTATGCCTCTGGGTGTTTTCATCAATATAATGCAGGTTTCTGACCAGTCAAGCCTAAAGATCATAGTCCTGCAAGCCCTAGTGCCTGCTCAGAATCCCACTTGGAATGCAAACAGCCTTTTCCTGAAATTCAGGCAGAGCAGGTTCACTTAATCACAACACATTGATGGTGGCAATGTGCTGGCCACAATGGGCACTGATAAGGGGAAGACCACAGCTCCTGTGAATCCTCTGTTGTGGTAAACCTGTGCCTGAGCATCAGCAAATTTTCATGGGCTGTATTTTGGGCATTATCATCTCCAATTGCTGTGAATACTCTGGATTTCAATTAGTCACTGAAAATGGGACAGTCACCAGAGATGGGAAAGGGAAGAGGGCACCCACAACAGGAAACAGGGAGCCAGAAAGATGCCCAAAGGACAGATTACAATAAATGACAGAATTTGTTAAGGAAGGAGATGCCAGCAGGACTTTTCCACCTTAAGAAATGTTGGTTTCCTTTCTCCCCTCTAGGGCTTTGTTGCGGAGATGTATTTTAGGCCAGTGCGGACATCTACAGTCACTTTGAACTCTTACAGCACTCCATCCTAAGTGTTTGCCCTTTGATAGCAATTCAGAGCTGGTGGCCTGTGAAATCTGATTCCCCGCTCCTCTCATGCGATTAGAAGGTACGGTAGGGCAGCTCTCCTTCCCCATTTGGGAAGCTCAGTGGCTTCTGAACTCTTCCATGGGAACCAGCTACCAGGCAGCTCCAGGACAAAACCTTCTTGCTGGCTTCGTGTGTGTTTGCTTCTAGGTTCCCACCTGCTGTGAGCCAGCACACAAGCATCCAAATTTCCAACTCCATGGGTTCCATCCCCACATCTTAATGTGACACTGGGCTGCCAGATTCCTAGTAAGAACTTTGTGGAGCTGAGGGGAGAAGGAGCTCTTCAAGTCTTACGAGGAGCAGCTGAGGGAACTGAGGTTGCTTAGTCTGGGGAAGAGAAGGCTCAGGGGGGACCTTATTGCTCTCTAGAACTACCTGAAAGGATGGAGTGAGGTAGGAGTCAGTCTATTCCCCAAGCAAGAAGTCATAGGACAAGAGGAAATGGCCTCAAGCTGCACCAGGGGAGGTTTAGATTGGATATTAGGAAAACTTTCTTCACCAAAAGGGTAATGAGGCATTGGAACAGGCTGCCCAGGGCAGTGGTGGAATAACCTTCCCTGGAAGTGTTCAAAACCCATGTAGATGACGCCCCCAGTGACATGGGTTAGTGGTGGTCTTGGCAGTGTTGGGGGTAAAAACTGGACCTGATGATCTTCAGGATCTCTTCCAAGCTACCTGGTTCTATGATCATAGGTGGGAACCTATAGGTACCTGTGCAGTGGGGTCCTACCATGCCATTTTGGGGCTGTGGAGTCATCTGGTAACGCCCACCGCAGGTGCTATGGTCTTGGCTTTGCCAGTAGCCTCTGCACCAGCCAGCTCTGTGATCACTGCAGCCGAGCAAAGGATCCAAGCACCACATCTGTGTTGTTACGAGATGTGCATCATCCAAGCCAGCCTACCCTGTGGTACGGCACTCAACTTTTCACCTCGTAGAACTCCAGTCCTCCCAGGAGCACCCTCAGGAGCACCTCAAAAAGGCCCGCAGACCCTGCGGGTGCCACAGCGATGGCACCCTGTCCCCTCGCACTTCAGCGGCAGGGCCATGCAGCCCTACAGCTGGTGGGGCAGCCTCTCCTTCCCCTGAAGGCTCCTGTCAGCACAGGCTTCCCGTCGTGCCACGCCACGAATGGCCGCCGGGTGCGAGGGGCAGATGGTGAATGCGACCCCCGGTGAGAGCGGCCCCTCCCCGGGTACGGCGGCGGTGGGACACAGCCTGAGGGGCGGCGGGCACGGCAGAGCGGCTCCCTCCCCGCCCTAGAGGCACTTCCAGCTCCCCGACACTACAGAGCGCCGGAGCTCGCCCTGCGCCAGCCCCCACCCTCAGCGCGCTAACGGCTCCCGCGGATCCCGCCCCCCGCTCCGCTGCGCGCCGCGGTTTGACCCGCGCGGGCCGCCGTAGCGTGTCGGATCGGCCGTGCCGGGGCTGCGTGCGGCGCTGCGGCCGGGGGGCAGCGGCTGGGCGGCGCTCGCCGCGGGGCTGCGGGGCTCGGCGGGCGGCCTCGGCCCCCCGCGTCCGGCACACACACGCGTGCGGAGCCGCCCCCTCGCCGCCTCCCGCGGAGGGAACGGCCCCCGCCCCGCCTGCAGGGGCGGCCCGCGCCGCAGCCCCTCCTCGGGGGAGGTCGGCTGCATGGGCAGGCGCGGCGGGGCACCGCGGCGGTGGCTCTGCCGGCAGAGCCGCTGCTGAGCGCCAGGTAGGAGAGGTGGGAGCAGGGGGTGGAGGAGCCGGGGCGGCCGGCCGGAGGAGGCGCGTCCCGTCCCGTCAGCCCGCAGTGCCGCCGTGGGGAGGGGGCTGGCGGTTGTGCTGACTCGGACGTTTCTCTCTTTCCCCTTCCCTCCTTCTCTCTCTGTTCCCCCCGCCCCCATTTTGCGCGGAAGCCGGAGGATATATTTGCTGCAGGCTTTGACCAGATCCCTCTTTCCCCCCGGCAAGCACCGGGGCTTCGGGAGAGGTGAAGGGTTTGTAATCGTTGGCAGCAGTCACAGTTCCTCCTTCACCCTCTTTATAAACGAAGGGTGCGGGGATGTGAAGTCTTATGTGCCTTTATTGTCAGATATCACCCGCTAGTTATATATATGTGTATGTACTTAAAGCAGAGCTAAATTTGTGAGAGTTAAAAACTCCCTCATGTTTATTCTCGGTGTGCTTCTGCGGTTTGGTATTTAATGATGAAGCACAGCGCTGTGCTTTCCTTACTGTGAACCCTAAGGTAGAATGGATGTGTATGGAGCAAAAGCAAGGGGCTGGATGGACTCCGTTAGTGGGCTCCAGCCGTGAGGATTGTTATCTTTGTCATAAAATGATACTGAAATGTGTAACATAATTTTTTTTGATCTGGCAATTGGTTTAGATGTGCCAGTACATACTAAAAGGATAATAATTCTCGTGGAAGCCTCTGCGAATAAGCAATGCTGCACCCGTCCTTACCATAAACTCTTGAATTTGGCATTTCTTGCAAAGAATGAGGGTAGAATTCATTGTGAATGTTGTACTGACCCACGGGTGCATCTTTCAGTTTAGATCACTGCTGATTTGATCCTCTGGAATCTGCAAGGGAGAAGTCTGCCAGCCTCTGTGAATAGCTCTGCAGTGTAACAGGAGTGGAGTTCCCAAGCAGAATTGCTGAGAGCTATGTGAACGGGTGTAAGCAAAACTGAGCACATCGGGATTTCTGCCTCAGCCCTGGGCTTGTGTGTGTGTGTGGGGTGAACACCCTCTGGCACCTGGAGATGATGTCGGTCGAAGGGTCTACAATAACAAGTCGGATCAAAAATCTGCTTCGCTCCCCTTCCATTAAGCTGAGGAGGAGCAAGCCTGGGAACAAGCGTGAAGACATAGGCAGCAAGGTGAGTGCTGTGTTGCTTAAGGTCCCATGTGTACTAACAGTATGGCTTTGGGAGACTGGTGTAACTGTAGAGTGATGCAGAGCAACTGATATGTGACTGTAGTCTGTCTCTTAGTTGGGATCTTTACTGTGCTGCATATCCTTGCTAAAGCCCTGGTTCTTCTGCTGAAGCACTTCTTTTGCTTGTGTGGTTATCTGCCCATTCTGTATCAGGAAGCTTTTGGGATTTTCCACACTGTGGTGTGTGGAGTTGTTACAGATGACTGACAGGAGAAATATAATACTGCCTCTTCCTCCATGTTTCCAACTGCAAACCTGCATTACTGGCAGCTGGTGATACACAAAGACCTGTTCTGTGTAAGCAATTGCTCTCAGCCTCGCAAAGGAGTGTTCTCAGAGTATGTAGGGAAGGATGGGATGGTCTGAGAGATGGAGGATGAAAGATGTATCTTGGAGGTGACTGTTCAGATGGGGTCTGCATTCCACAGGCCTGGATGTGCTTTTCTCCATGTTCCTCCTCTGTGTGCCTCAGACTCCCTTCCCTTGGAGATACCTGTGGTATAATGCTTCTACCTGAAAAATCCATCATTCTTCCTGGTGTTGTGGAGCATTCCTGACAGTTACTCACTGGGAATTGACTGGTGTCATGAGGAGGATGACTTAATCCTGGTTGTGGGGAGAACAGGAGCTGGGTGGCATTGCCTTGTGCTGACAGCAGGCGCCCCTGAGTCAGGGCACCTCGCTCAGTCCCTTCACTGATTCACTTGTAACCCTGTGCAAATCACTCGGCCTTGTGTAGCTTGTTCTCTCCATAAATAGAAAGGTTAATCCCTCCCCCCCTTGTAAAGGCTCACTAATAAATAAGAAATGCTTGTAATCTGTGACTGCAAAGTGCGCTCATTTGTCTCAGAACAATAGTGCTTCAAAATTTATCTCTTGGAGTGAAGAGTGTGTGTAAAACTTCAGGGGAAGTAAATGACACCTTGCCTAAGTGTCCTGTCCCCAGCATAAAATCCTGTTCTGGTTCAGGTCAGTTTTCCTGAGATGGCTATTTCATGCCAAGGAACACAATATTCTCTTGCCAAGAAAGGGAAAAACCTGCTTGGCTTCCTCAGAGCTCTCTAGAGGAGAGTCCTTGGTGTTTGTGCATGACCTCAGTGTGTTCATGTGCATGCATGCACTGCATTTAATGCAGCCTGTGGCCTGCCAGTGAAAGGTGCTTTGTAGCTGTTGCTGAAGAGCAGTTTGTTGATCTGTATTCTGCAGAAACCTCAGTCAAAAGAGCCAAAATCCACCCGTACCACCGTGTACAGTGGGCATTGTATTCTTGCTCTGTGAACAGGAGCTGAGATCTGCACACTGCTTTCCAGGGCTGTGACCTGCTGCTGTGTACCCAGGGTATGCTCTGGTACCTGGTTGGTTTTGTTTTCCTTGCACATGCCTTTTGGAAGAGCTCTGTTGTATCCCCTGTGCTGTCTCTCCCAGTGTGCAGCTAGGGCTGTCTGATCCCCTGGGGACATTGTGGATTCATTCCACACCATCAAATTAGGGTTTGAGGGCTGGATTAAGAGCAGTTAATCAGTGAGATGCAAAGGAACTGCTGTGGAGTTTGCTGGCAGAAGCAATTTGTTATGTCCTCATCATCAACTCAGTTTGTCATTTGATGTGGTAGGTGCTGGTGTTGGTTTCCTAAAGGGATCTGCTCTAAGTTTTCCTCAGGTGAGTTATGGCCTGCTGTTGGTGGGACAGCTGGAATGTGCAAGACAAGAGGGAGTGGGACCCTTACTAAAGATCCAACACATGTTGGATATATGTAGAGATATCCCCTCTGCTGTGTGTGCGCTCTTCTACCTTCCAAGGTGAGAAGCAGCTCTATCTTTCTAAACCAGCAGGATTCAGATCCTCTCTGTCTGATACCAGGTTTAAGTGTAAATCGCTTGGGACTGAAATCGAGCATCATACACATCGCTCCTCAAGGATCTTTGCTGACCTGCAGGGAGAAACCCTCAGGCATCTTTGTCTCTTGGACTTTTTGAGTAATGGCTGCTCCAAAAGATGTATGTGACTCTAGTCACATGGAAATACAGAAGGGCCTGTGAAGCTGGTAGCTATGGCTGGTCATCTCAGCTGATTGCTGCTTGATTACATAGGATGGAGGAGGACTGCTGCCCTAGATTAACACCTGAAAGGATGGAGGAGGACTGCTGCCCTAGATTAACACCTGAAAGGTTATGGTGTGCTTTGTATGTGCAGATACAGGTGAGGCCCTGTGGTTCCTCTGAGTCCCTCAAGCTTTTATTGAAGCGGGCTGCTCAATTTAAGATGGACAAGCACCCTCAGTAGCACTACCTTGACTTCCATAAGATGTAATTTTCCCTTGCAGTGGAAAGTGTCCCTTGTGTCCCTGCTCTTTCTTAAGCAGCTCTTTGCTGGTGTGAGGCCTGTCAGGCTCAGTGGTCAGGGGCAGACCCCTTGGGCAGTTTGTGACACTGAAAATTGGCTTCTTTCAGTGAAGCAGCCGTGTAATGCTGGGCTAGACGTAGGCAGGCTGTGGGAGGCTGGCTCTGCAGAGACCTGTTTGTGCATTGCTCTGCAAGGGGGAGTGTGGGTAAGTGGAGATACTTTGCATGACGGCTGTGCAGGACATGCACTGTGTTACTTGGGAACTGTACAAGAGAGAACTTGTTTTGGTGCTTTTATTAGGACTTATTTTTTCTTATAATTAATGCGTGGTTTTTCTGTGCAGCTGCAGAAGATCTCCACAGGAGTAAAACTAAGGAACCAATACGTAATCGTGGGTATTTAAAAAAAAAATAAATAAGGGGAAGGAACAGGAGCTCTTTAAAGCTTGTTGACAAACTGGATGTTGTGTTTGGGTTTGTCACTGCTTTTTGAAAACAACTTCTCTTTTGTGAGAATCCTGAGTTTTGCTGCTGCCTGATGAGCTCTGGGTTTAGACTTCTTTTTTTTCTTCTTCTGATGTTGATGGCTTGAATCCACTTTTCCTGCCTTTTCCAGATCCTGAATCAATATGGAGCTGGAGCACAGCGGCTTAAGTCTAGGCCTGTTGATAGCTGGGATTGTAACATGTGAGTGTGGTGGCTCAAGCTACTATGTCCTTAGAGAGTTTGGTTGGCCTGCATTCTATTTCTAGAGGATTTCTAGCCCTATCAGAAATCCAGCCATGCATCTGGCCACCGTGCTAGTGATTCCAGTGGAGACACAGAAGTAGAAACTGGGCACTGAGTACCTTTGGAGCGGCACAGGATCACCCTGAGTAAGTGGCACTAGCAGAACAGTGTGGCAGCTAAGTGGTGAGCCATCTCCTATTGCTATAATTTACGGGTTGTTCCAGTACCCTGCAACTTGACTACACAAATCTTTCTCTGCTCACAGAAGTAATGCACCTGTGCAGGTATAGTTCTTGTTGTTCATACTGTTAAGCTCTACTTTTGTAAATATAAGCATCTTTAAAACTGATGTAGCTGTGCCTATTTTAGGATATGTTTGTGTGGGTATCCTCGGTCAAAGCAGATTATAAATGTCAATGTAGAAACAAATTGCTGCAAAACCTGCTGCAGGCTTTTCCCCAAAACAGTAAACCAGTGATTCAAAAAGAACACATTTGGAATTTGCTGCTTGTTTCTTTGATCTCTCCTGTTCATTTTCTAAGCCAGAAATATTTCAAGTTGCCAGTTTAAAAGAGTTCTTTAACTAAAACCTGACATTCCCCAGCGGGAAGTCATTCAGCACTTGGATTGTTGTATCATGGTCTCCCCTCACCAAGTGTCATGTGAACATGTGCAGCTGGAGCCCCTGTTTCCAGTCCATCATGCTGGGTTGGATTGGGTGGCTCTGCAAATCCTTTCTGAGAGCTTTCATTCTGAAAATGACACCTAAGATGTTCCTGGGGAGGCAGGGTTTCCTGTCCTCCTTTGGTGAGGCATGGTCTGTTCTTACTGCCTGCCTCCTGGCTGCTTTCAGCCTAATGGTAGCTCCCTGGTTAGGGCAGCTGAAACCTATACGCTTAGCTTTGTGTCCTGCAAGTGGACAGGCATAGATTTAAGAGGGAAACAGATCCATGGGAGCTTGAGTCCCTCCATGCCTTGTCATGCCCCTTGCATTCCCAGCACAGTTCTCCAGCTTCTTAATTCCCTGAAAAGTCGCAGGGCTGGGCTAGGACCACAAGCTGTTCTGGACACAGGAAAGTGGAGTAATGTTTCTGGCCTGGCTGTCGCTTCCTGCCTTCAGTACACAGTCTTTTTTGTTTGAAAATACTGTAGCTTCCAAAATGAATCAGTTTAGTCTGCTACTGGTCTTAACTGGATCAGCTGAGAGTTGCTGAACCTTAACTGGAAGAGAATCAAAAAACACATAAGTTTGATTCACTGATATAAATGCTTCAGAAATCATCACCTTTTATTTAATCTTTTAAGGCGCAGCTGAAACTTGTTGCAGAGTGGGATTCTTGGTAAGTCTTTGGGAACAACTTGGTCCTTCAGCAGCAAAGCCTGCTGGGTTTCTTGTAGGCAGCACTTCCTAGGGAGCTAGATGTGGGGCTGAGCAGCCTGACTGTGTGGGTGAAGTAGAGAGCAGCCTGTCTGATGCTGTCATAAGCTTTTGCTTTGGCAGGATTTGGAAGGGTCTTTTACATAATGATGGTGCTTTTGAGGAGCTCTTCAGCACAGTATTGCCCTGTTTTCCTTCTCCACTCCACTAGAGTCTGAGCAGTGCTCAGCCCACCAGGTCTGGGACCAGTGCAGCCAGTGGCACAGCTGAGAGGATGCATCTAACCATTGCCTGGTCTTCTGCTGCTGTGCCTGTTCTGCTTCAGCATCCATGAGTGTTGTGTGGCCCTGGTTGATAGCTAGGGATCTCTGCACTGCTCAGTCTAAACACATTCAATTGCTTTAACAGCTTAGGGGCTGCTGTCCAGAGATAGAAAGGATTTCATATCTGTCTCTGGTCAAGCTTATAACAGTGTTCTTTAAAGGAGAAACA